CCATTGGCTGAGCTGTCGAAGGTCAGTCATCGGGCCTCCCCTTTAGTCCACCTTCATCTGCAAGTACTGTTGACACCTGCTGGGCGTCAAAAGGCACAGGATGGCTGGCACACTGACTGGGAACCGATGTGCACCTCTCCCGTTTGGAAGGCCTGAATTCTACCTGGGACCCACCACCGCCTCATTTCTACAGCGCGCCGTACGCTTCCTGCTGAGCTCCACAGCCCTCTTCCAAGTGTTTCGTGTGCAAGGCCCCGTCTACTCTGAGCAGCCGCCCCGTGCAGCACACCCCCACCCACTCTAACCACGCACGGCCATCCAGGCCTTTCTACAGCGCTGCCCGGAGGGCTTCTGGGACTGGAGCTTCACAGAGTAGAAAGTCTCATCCTTCTCCTGAAGGAGAAGCCAACCAAGACACAGCTGGGTCAGATACCCTGCCAAGGCCAGCCAGCCGGGAGAGAAGAGCTGGCCTTCCAGTCTGTGCAGGCCGGCCCCAGAGTCCACACCCCATGTCCTGGCTTCATGCATCTGTCTGCTTGTCCTCTCTGCATCCTTGTCCGGGACAGAGGGCGTGCACAGAGGCAACAGCAACCTAGCCCAACACAGACACCACCACCCCACCCCCCGCCCCCCTGCCATCGGCATTTACCCAGCAGCTGGCTCCCTCCCTCCTTCCCTCCCTCCCTCCAGGGACAGACCCGAGGGACTTTCCCAGCCTGCTCCGTGTGACCTCATTCTTCATGTTGCTGTCCCTCCCTGGCCCCCAGCCACGTCCTCTCTCAACTCAACTCTCGCGGCCACCAAGTCCATCCCCACGCCCAGTGGCCCCATGGGGTTCCGAGACTGTAACTCGTTACTCTTCCTCCTCCCAGTGGTTTTGAACTGCTGACCTGGCAGTCAGCAGCCCAGCTGAAAACCACTACACTAATAGAGCTCCTGGGAGACCCGCCCTGCAGGCAGCAGTCAATCTGCGTTGTTGCCCCACCAGGCAAACATGGCCCCTTGAGGGTCCCAAGAATTAGCTCTGTCCAGAGCTGGGTCAGAGAGACTGTCCCCTGAGGTTCCACTGCCCCCAACCCTGCACATCCACAGCCTGCCCTCACATCTGCCTGCCTGCAAACTTCCAACTGGAATCTCCACTCAGACTCCTCCTCACCTAAGCCTAGTTCCAGAGCAGGGCTGGGGGTAGGGTGGGGGGGCTGCTATAAAATGCTGGGCCAAGACTCCTGAACTCAGACCTTGGCTTAACTAATCAATGAAGGATGATGAGAAGCAGCCCTGGGAGGGTAAAGGACAAAGCCAAAGTCAAACACCTGCTCAGGGGCAAGCATGGCCTGGGACCAGCCTCCTCACCCCAGGTACCCGCCTGGACCCCAGAGCAGTCAGCAGGCAGTTAACACACCAGGAAATGGCTGAGGCCTCTCTCTCAGGAAATCCAGGTCAATAATATAGATCGCAGAGCAGAGAGTAGTGCTGTCTGGCTAAGAGCCCAGAGGGGTGGGAGGGACAGAGCCTGGGCCCTCTACCCAACACCCGGGCACCCGGCAGGACCTGTCCCTCCCTGGCTCAGAGTCACAGCACCTGAGAGTTAGCTGGAAGGGCAATTGATTTTCCAGGCCAACTGACTCATGTCATAGCTGGGGAGAGAGAGACACATGACCTGCACAAGGTCACACAGCATGCCGGCACACGGGGGACCAGCACCCGGGATCCTGCCGTCCCGGCCAGCCTACTTTGCACACTAACACCCTGTCTCCTTCTCTCCGCACTGAGTCTCAGGGCGTAGAGAACCTTCTCTGTTGGCTCTGGGCGGGTTTGGGGGTCTGTGGTAGGGGGCTCACCGCGGCTAGCCACAGAACCCTTTCTTCTCCCCGGATCTACATTTGCAGCCCTGCTGTTGCAATGCCCCGGGCCCAGCTTCAAATTACACACACCGCCACTTAGCTCCCATCTCCAGCAAATTAAAGATTCTATCCAATTAACCTACAAGGCCCTGCTGTGGCCCTGAGCTTACCCCCTCCCGTGCCCTGGGCTCCGCATGCAAACATGGGGAGCGGTGCCTGGGCCCAGCAGGCGCCCACTACCACCCACACCCCAGAACAGCTGGTTGGCATCTTCTGCAGGCTTGGTGTGAGTCCTCAGGAGATGCACTCAGGGATACTGAGGTACAGCTTAAGGGAGGGAGTCCCTGACCACTGACGTCTCAGCAGGAGCCAGGCCTGTCAGATCTAAGCAGGATTAACCCAACCCAAGCTAGCTGCCCTGAATTCCACTGACTCCCTGGGAAAGCCCGTAAGGTTTTCAGCGGTTACAACCCTTTGAGAAGCAGATTGCCAATTCTTCCTTCTAAGGGGACTCTGGTTGGACTTGAACCGCCAACCCTTTGGATCAGTTTGCACCTCCAGGGACTCCCCAACCAGTCAAGTGGATTCCTACTCATGTGATGCCTAGATCATCCAATCTCAGGGTTCAGCTGGGGGCCCTGCCCCTGGCTCACCCAGGTCCCCTCGGCCAGCTGGGGGCCCTGCCCCCAGGGCCACACTTCCCAGCTGTGCTGCTCTTCCAGTGTCCCATTCTCCAGCCTCCACTCCCCACGCCATCACCCCAATAGCCTCTCTGCTGAGAGCTGAACAGGTGTCCCTGGGAAGGTGAGACCCATTTCTCAGATGCCTGTCCCTGAGCCATCTGCAATCCAAGAGCCAAGAGAGACCAACGTCGTTTAAAGGAGCCTCAACACTCACCGGCATGCATCTACGGAATCAAAAGTCAGTGCTGCCCACTCTACAGGTTACAAAACGGAGACCCGGGAAGTGTGTGCTTCGCTCTGGGTCTCTACGACCCTTTGCTGTCTGCAGGGATTCAGGCCACTGCTGCCTCCTTCCCCTGCCACACAACCCAGCCTCCCACAGGCCTTTATATCCCCTGAGAGGCTGAGTCCATGGCCGTGCCTGTGTCCAGCAGTCCTGCAGTCACTCACTCACCAGCAGGGTCTGCTTGCCTGACTTCCAGGTCTGCGGCTGGGCCTTAGGGCTCTGGCTCCGGATGATGGAGGGGTACCCTGGGGAGATATGAGGTGCCGATGGGCCAGGTCCCAGAGCCAGGACAGCCCAGCTTCCTTCCCCCACATGACCACAGAGCCTTAGCCTTGTCCAGCTACCAAATGCAGCCACCCTGACCAGCCACGGCAGCAGGCGGCTGATGCCACTGGACCCCAGGGGAGCTGGCCAGAGGGCAGAAGCAGCATCAGACAGAAGAAAGGGGAGTAGGCCAGGAGGGTGGGGACAGGCAGCAGGAGTGGTCCCCAAGCCAATAGGACTACACCAGTTTTGTGGGGCTTCTCCACCGCCCCACCCACCTAAAGATAGACACTGTGCATCTTGCACCCAGGGCCCAGGCCAACTACGGCACCCTCTCCCGGTCACCCGGGCTGAATGGACAATGCTCCCCATGTCCAGGCCCCACAGGTGCCAGGCATTTCCCAGAGCTCTGGTCTGCCCGCTGAGCCCTCGACCAGCTCCACTCTCTCAGCTAGAAGCTCTCATCCTCCCGCGGCCTGAGTCAGTGCTGACTCGGAGCAACCCCATACGACAGGGCAGAACCGCCCCTCTGAGTTTCCAGCACAGTAACTCTGTATGGGAGTCGAAAACCTCGTCTTTGTCCCACACAGCCACTGGGATTTCAAACTGCTGGCCGTGCAGATCGCAGCCCAGAGCCAGCCTGCGCTACCAGGGCTCCTCAGCCAGTCAGCAGCAGGGAGGACTTAAACTTGGTTTCCCGGACCCCAAACCCATAGTTGTGCTCTATGTCCAGCTGCTGCCTCTCTCTTTCCCAGCAGGAAATGGGGGTCTAGAGAGGGGCACTCATTTGCCTGCAATGTGGCTGCAGACCAAGGCGGAGGCAAGCCCGGGGCCTGGGGTACCCACTGGCTGGATCACCAGGCGCAGGTGTTTATCTCCCCACTGCTCCCCTTAGCCCAGAGGGTCTTGGCCCACACGCCAGCCTGCAGTGCAGGGCTCCCACCCACGTGGCCTACAGAGCGACGTGCGCCCAGCAGTGTGGGTGACGCCAGCCACAGGGACAGGGGATGTGGTGCTCCAGGCAAAGGCAAGTGTGTGAGGGCACAGAGGAGCTCAAGACTCGGGTCCTGTTCCTGGCAGGGACTGGAAGCCCGTCCCTGGGATGCACTAGCTCGGGTGGCCCTCCTTGGGGCTGGCGCTTATCAAGAAGGCAGGGAGGAGACAGCTGATCTGTCTCTGTCTCCATGGTGGTGGGGGCAGGCAGCCCTGGAAGGAGAGGGCACGATAGGCCGGAAGAAGAGGGGGGAGGGGCAGACCTCCCCTCACTTCCCAAAAAGAAAGCCCCATACCAAGCATGGAGAGGGGAGGGCCAAGGAGGGGACTGGGCAGGGGTGGGGGTCGGAGCAGGGCGTGGTCCAGGAGACCCACTATGGCAGCAGGCAGAAAATGGGGATGGGGAATTAGGGGTGTGGGTGAGGGCATGCACCCCTCTGCCAGGGAGTTCTGGGGAGGAGGGACCAGGGCACCCTAGAAGTGGCAGAAAGCCCCACCAGGACATCCCACCAGGACATCCCACCTGTGCTGTGTCACAGAGAACAATAGGGGTGGGGGTGGGGGGTCGAGGGTGGGGTTGGGAAACAGGCAGGTACCAGGATTGTTTTTAAACAGACCACTGCCGTCCATCTGTTTGGAAAACTCTGAAGTGGCCTGTCCCAAGGTGGTGAACTGATAAGGGGTTTTCCCAATGCCTGCCGGGAAAGAGAGCCATTAGCAGCACAGAGCGCGGCCTTCATCGGGGCTGCCTGCAACACTGCCTCGTGCACAGGGCAGCCCTGCCAGGAACCCTAGCCCAAAGCCCCTGCCAGCTCAGGATGTGGCCAGCAGGGTTCCTGGCCCACGCCTCAAGGGGTGTAGAGCAGGGGCTCCCCCAAGGCGAGGCCACAAGTCTACACAGGCTGGAGGGGGCTAACTTGGAAGCGTAAGAGTTTCAAATCCCATGGGAAGGTGGCCTACCTGCCATCTGGGGAGGAGAGGGCTGCGGCTTTGGTCCAGACTTGACCAAAGAGAATGCAGGCAGCCTCTGGAGGCCAGAGCAAGGCAAGCCCCGGCGCTCCTCACGCCTGCCCTTGGGCTGGGACCACTACCCTCTCTGGCCCCCTTGCCCAGATGTTGGCTTGTTGGTGCACATGCTGCACAGGCCCTGGTCTTCAACTCCTCCCTGCCCCGCAGTTGCTTACCTTTCCAGGTGGAGCCTGGGTCCTGGGTCCACAAGAGACCTGGGGTCTGCCCAGCACACCACATCCACTCTGCCCCTAGGACCCTTGGGCACAGATGTGAGTGGGGCCTAGGCCTCACCAGGAGCCTGGTTCCAGCCTATCCACTCCGGATGGCCCCAGGACGGAGGCCACAGCACCTCAGCAGGAGGCCGGGTCAGATTCTGATTTGGGGTCACCCGTGCGGCTTTCTCAGAGCGCTCTGCGCAACCCTGTCTCTTCAGGAATCTACTGGGTGTCTCACAGCAGGAAGGTCCCACAGCCGATAGTGGTGGGCTCCCCGGAGAGAGCCAAGGTTTTCTAACAGCGCACCCCAAGGGGCTCTAGGATGGGGCCAGGCTCTGGGTGTCCTCCCCGCATGGACCGTTGAGGCCTCGGTTGTAGACCCTCATCAGGAACCAGCCCAGGGTCTCTCTGTGTGGGCACTAACTTGAGGGTGGGGCAGTGTCTAGCCCTGAGGAAGGCAGCCCCACCCTATTTCACAGTGAAGACAATGGGTGCCCCAAGGCCCCCCGCCAAGTCCCTGGTCAACCTCCAGACCGGTGCCCGCGTCTCTGTAAGGCGAGAGACTGGGAACGGGGTGGCGCCTGACCAGCTTGTGGAGGGATGGGGACAGCCACGCAGGAGCCCTGTGCTGGTTCAGACAGCGGAGTCAGGCAGGGCAAAAGTGGGGGCTGTAGAGGCCTGGGGCTGGAGTCTCACCTTTCAGGGAGAAAGAGGAATTTCCTTGCACTGTGGGCATATCGTCCGAGTTCTGGATGGTGGAGGAGTACTCCCAGACCCGGCTGGTGTAGTTACCTGGCAGGAACAGGAACTGGTGTTGGATCATGGACACCGGTACTCACCTACCCCGCCCGCCCCCAACCGGCATGGAGGCAGGGGGCCGTGTGGGGCTGTGATGTGGCTCTCACTCCAAGCCCCTAACTGGGCTTTCCTCCCCATCACGCCTCCACCCAAACCTTCCTGCCGTCCAAGCTGTCCTTCTATACAGCCCATCAAGTGTCCTCATGTCCCCGCCGACCGAAAGACTCTCCGTGCCCAGAATAAGCCATAGAGCTCCTACCTGGCACTGCCCACGGATCTTTTCATGACCTGCTCTCCCACCCCACCCTCCACACCAGCTCCACCTGCCCTCTGTCCTCCCTCCTCCTGGCCCACCTCAGTTACTCAAAAGTACCCCCAGCCCGGCCTCCCCAACTGAAGACTTCCCCTTTGACACATGAGCTCTCTTGCCCCGGGCTTTTGGCACCTGGGGAAATTGACCTGTGCTCCTAACCTGAGGGAGCCCTGATGGCATATGGTGACATATTGGGCTGCCATCTGCAAGGGTGGCAGTTCAAAGGCTCCATAGGGAAAAGGGGGCTTTCTGCTTCCATAAGGAGTCCCGACGAGGCGGCACTGGCCCGATGGCACTCGTGGGGTTTGGCTTTTTGTCTCCCAACTTTAGAAGGTCCAGTCAGGGCTCAGCTTATGTGCAATTTCCCCACCAAGTCTGTACAGGGAGCTTCAAAAACACTGGTGGGAAAAGCCCATTATCTCCCCCTTCCATTGTCCACAGGCTTTTGAAGGCCCTTAGCTCTCTGTCCTTCCCTCAGCAGCTCGTCTGACTCCCTCCCTGTGGGCTCCTGGGGACAGTACGCAGGCCCGTCGGGCCGGCCTCAAGTGCGTGGCTGGCACGGAGCCCAGCAGCTTGGAGGTGTTCATTATGTGGTTGGTGGGTACATGAATGAACAAGGCAACAAACAGATACAAGCACAGCCAAGCACCGGGACCAGCAGCTGAGGTCACTGCAGGCATGCTTGCCAAGTTGAATAGACAGACGGACGTCTGTTTGCCAAGTGCGTCACTCAGACTGGAGGAGAAGGAGGCCGTGGGAGGAGAGTAGGGGGCAAAGGTGGTGCTGAGCGGGTGTCAGAGATGGGCTCCGGTGGTCTCTGGATGATAGTCATGACACCTCACTGGGCCCCTATCACTCAGTGTCACAAGCCCCCATAGGGGTACCCAGACAGGAACAGTAAGCCCAGCTCTGGTGGGGCTCTCCCACAGCACCTTGCAGCTCAGTGCCCTGCCCCCAGCAGCCCCTCCCACAGAGGCCTAAGGGGGGGGCTCTGCATAGAGGCCCTAAGAGCAAGCCCACCAAGGGTCAGAGAGGCCACATGCCTCTCTCTTTCATTTATTCCTCCTTCCTTCTCTCTCTCTCAGTGAGTGCTCCTTGTGAGCCCCTCCTGCTCCTGCCCCTGCAGGGCTCCAGTCTACTGTACATGTGGAGAAGGGGCTGGAAGATGGTGACAGCTGACCGCCAATCTGGACAGAGATGCCTGGGCCTCGCCCTGTCCAGCAGGCACTCCTGGTGTCCGTGGGTCCTCGCTGCCCTCATAGAGTTCTCCCAGGCTCCCCCTCACCCCAGACCTGCCCTGCTCTCTGTGGCCTCTGGCCCATGCAACCTGCTCCGTGAACTCGGTAGGCAGTCACCCTGGGGCCCAGGGGATGGACTGAGTCCATGGGCCTGTCATTGTGCGCAGTTTCCCCTGAGCACTGGGCCGAGGGAGGCCCCACATGTAGGGACTCTCCCTAATTAGCCGACTCCCCATCCACTTCACTTGTCTCCCAGGACAGCCACAGTGCCTGGATCCCCAGGGATGGCCCGGCGCACAACATGCACTCCCCTCCCCACCCCCACGTCCTGTCTGCGCCACTGTCCACCGTTCCCCATCAGGAGATGTCCCGTAAGCCCTGACGCTGCTGGGGACATCCCCACACCCAAGCCCAGATGCTGACTTGTCCTCTGGGGAGCAGAGGAGCAGGTGGACATGGGGAATTCTCACAGCTGCTAAAGCTCCTGGGTGGCTTTTTCTCTGGTATAATGTGGTGTAGTGGGTTATGCATTGAACTGCTAACCACCAAAGTAAGCGGTTCGAACCCAGCAGCTGCTCCTTGGGAGAAAGATGAGGCTTTCAACTCCTATCATGATTCACTGTCTCCAGAAGTCTGGGGTGGGTGGGGGGAGTGGGAGGGGATGCAGTTCTAATCTGCCCTATAGGGTTGCTATGAGTTGGAATCAGTTAAATGGCAGTGAGTTTTGCATTTGGGGATCACGCCTCACACGCAGGCAGACACACAGACACACAGACACACACACACACACACACACCCATACTACTTTAAGCATGACCTCCCCTACCCTGCCAGATCTTCTCCACATTCCTCTCACATCCCAGCTTCCAGGCATCAGGACCCAGACCTGGCCTCCCACTACACACACACACACACACACACACACACACACACACACACACGGGCCCCCCAGTCTTGAGCCCAACCCCCACCTTTGGTGCCATAGAGATTGTTGAAGTTCTTCTGATTGGTCTCCTTGGAGAGACGGCTGGGGGAGGAAGGCTGGAACGTTGTCCGGACTCCACCTGTGGGGCCGACACCAGAACTGTCATTGCAGAAAGGAGGCAGGTCTCCACCCAGGGTGATACGCAGGCCCCCTGCCTGCACACGGGCCCATCTCCCCACCCCACAGCCTGGGCCCACCATGAAGAGAACAAGGTGGCCGTTGAGATGTGCATCCCCCTCAGGACACCGCTCACAGGGAAAGGGGTGCCGTTGCGAGTCTCCCCAAGACCAGCGTGTGCGGGCGGTCCTGGGTAAGCTCTGGCCACTGCTCACACTTCCATGGTCACCGGAAGGACCTCCCTGCTGAGACTGGGCCCTGGACCGGGAAAGCCCCACCACTCTCTGGGGAACGTTGTGTGGGGGAGACCCAGGGGCAGGGCTCCTGAGGGAGGAGCGGCCACTCAAACCCACAGTGGGAGGAGCGTGGACCCCTAGCCTTACGAGGGTGAGCCGTCTGAAGCTGGGTGAGCAAGCCACAACCACAGCACCCTACAGGTGCCAAGAGAGCAGCCGCTGTTCACCCCCACAGCCTGCATGGCACACAGTCACGCTCTCCCTCCCGACCACAGACAGTGCCAACACCCACAGGTGCCTCTGGTCCTTCTACCATCTCTGCCCTCCCCACCGTACCCTCACTCCCACAGCCTGGACTCTAGTGCACGGAGCCGCGGCACCTGCTGGCCCCTCTGCTAAGCCTCCGGCCTGACGTTCCCCTCAGCCCAGCAACTTCTGTTCGAGGCCACGCCCACCACAGCCACACCCTGGACTGGGCACCTGCGTCCCCTTCAGGCCTCCTCACTGCTCAGCCCCCACACCCCAGACTCGGGCACACGATGGCCCGGTCTCCCTGTCCCACTGGGTGACTCTTGGTCCTGGCCTTGCCTCCCCCAGGCCTGGGAGTTGCCAGCAGGCAACTGTCCTCCCCTGTTGTGTCCCCAGCGCCCACGATGCTCAGTGGGAACACCAGGTGAGCCTGTTCTCTTCCAACTGCAGGAGTCAAAGACTGACTCACAGTGATGGCGCTGGAAGATCTCCGAGCATTGGGGGGTTCCTGAGGTGGGGGGGTGCTGGGGGGGCAGCCTAAAGGCTATCTAGCCCCCAGCACTCTCAGGTTCCATTGGGGACCTGATGTTACCTTAGGGGGTGGTCCTTGGAGGAAGGAGGCCTGAGGGGCTGGGCCAAGGTGAGGCAGGGGAGCGACGAGGGATGAGTCCTCTCTGTGGGTCCCCTGCCACAGAGCTCCGCCCGTAGAGATAGAGCTCCAGCAGGGGTTGGGCAGGACAGGCCGGCTAGGGCCTGGCCCACACCAGGAATGTGGACCAGTGGGCACAGGGCTCTTTCCCCAGAGCTCTGCATGGAGCCCAGGGGGAGTTTCCAAACTGGGTGGGGCAGCAGGAAGTTCTTCTCAGCTGAGTTCATCCCTCTAATCCCTTCCCACTGTGTGTGTGTGGTGTGTGTGTGTGTGTCCGCGCGTGCTTAGGGCTTAGGGTCTCAGCTCCCCCTCCCCAGCCCCTTGTGCCTTCCTCCATGTTTCCTCCACCCCCTGCTCCCCCACTGCCATCACTGCCCAGGCGCCAGCCCAGGCACCCCCCTTATGTGCAGGCATTGTTGTAGTTTCTTGCTGGTGCCAAAGAATGTGGCAGGCTACTACAGGGCAAGAACAGGCCAGTGCTGGTCTATTATCCCCAGCCCCCACCCCACCCCCAGAACACAGCACAGGCTGGGGCTCTCCAGGGCCGGCGAGGAACAGGCTGCAGACCCAGGGAGACCGCAGAGAGGAAACAGGAAAGGAGAAGATGCCCTCCTGTCCTTAAGGACCAGAAATGGGTTGGGGGAGACAGCCCCCAACTACGGAGGCTCAAAGCCCTGGAAAGACGAGGTGGCAGCCAAACACAGCTCCGGCCGCCAGCAGACGGAAGCCCGCGAGCCCAGTAAGAGAAGACCCACTAGAGGAAACAGGGCAGGTGCAGGATGGGGCAAGGGGAGGCACTGTCAGCACCCAGCGGGAGGCCTCTGTGGAGCTGGGCGAGCACATACTTCATCCTGGGCACCCACCAAGTCTGAGATGGGAAGGAGGCACCGCCAGCCCCTGGACCTGGAAACAGCGTCTGCCAGGACGCTCCTGGTCAACTCCTGAGGAGGAACTGGATAAGAGTTCCTCTGTGGCAGGAAGAGGGCACCCGGACGGCCGGTCAGTAGCCCTTACCCTTGGGCGTGAGGTACATGGAGTATCTCTTCATGGTGTCTGGTGTGCTCCACTCCGTCCCATAGTTGTTGGTGTAGTTGTTCACGTAACGATGGTCACCTCCTGAGAAGGACAGGGGCTTGGTGAGGAGGTGCTGGCCACTCACCGGGCCTCCCTAGGTTGAACAGACGTTCCTGGCCTCAGGGGACAGAATGCTTTTCCCAGCATGCACTCTGCTCCGGAGCTCTGGGGAGGGTCTACAGCGCGCCAGTCACCTTCTCTCAGACTGACCCTTGGAGAGTAACAGCACGTGCCCCGCACGCTGCAGTGACAAGGTGTGGCTGACGTCTGTTCCTTCCTTAAGTGTGTCCAGGACACAGTGGTCCAGGACAGGAGTGAGTGGAGCTCCTTGCCTGGACAAATCAGGGCAGAGTTGGGGGGTGGGCACTGGTGCCTTGCTCCGGGCTCAGTCACAAGCCCTGCTGGCAGCCCAAGGCTTTACTTGTGGCTTTGGCCTCCGAGACCCAGTGCACTAGGCCAGGCAGGAGCTCAAGCTCTGGAGGGGGTGTGGAAGGCAAGACTGACTCAGACACCAGCAGACTCCCATCTCACCCCGCCTCACCCGCAGTCAGCCTCCTTCATAGCCTTCCTTTCTCCTTACTCCTCCATCTTCCTTTCCCTCTGTCCTCCCTTCATGCCTGGCAGTGACCTGACCCACTGCAAGCACTCAGTGGCCAACCAAATGCCTCTCTCCCCCCAACGCTTTGAGCCCGGCACGGTGCCCTGGCTTGGTGGGAGGGCTGGTATCGGGAAGGAGAGGATGGCAGTGTGGAGGTGTGACTCACCGTCTGCCCATCCCCAGCCTCCCACAACCAAACACACTCCCCACAGCAGGCAGCAGTGAGAGCCCACAGGGAGCCTCCCAGCAGCCCCAGGCACAGGTGCAGGGTGCTGACATCCACAGTGCCCCACCCAGTGCCTGGCTGCACACCTTGTACAGGGCCACTGGTCCACCCCTGCCCAGTAGCCATCCCAGCACAGCTGTGACCTAGAAATAGGGTGGAGGGGAGCCAGGAGGCTGGGACATCCCTGCGAAGTTCATAAGCCACCCTGTCCCAGCCAGGGCTAGCCTCCGGGGTCAGCTTCAGCCCTCACCTGAGGGGCTCCCCCTGTCAGGATCACCATAGGCCCCCCACCCCACCACCTCCACAGACAGCAGCAGCTCCTCACTTGAGAAGGTCCGAAGGTGGCATGGCAGGGTAGGGAACCAACAGTATGGTTGGAAAAGATCCTTGTCTGAACCTCAGCCTTCCTCCCCTGAGGGGCTGTCAGGGGGAATAAGATCGGGGCAGCAGCTGGCACACGGCACCCCACCAGCGTCAGCATGGCCATTGACACAGGGAGGCTCCTAGAGTCTCAGGCTGGCTAGGACATGGCTCATGTGTCCTTAGGAGTGTTTGAATGGGGGACACTGTGTGATATCCCGATCAGCATGGCACAGAGAAGGCCCCCGAGCCCAGACCCCAACACTAGCATTGCTCTCTCCTCCTCAAAGAGCCATGGGCAGCTACAGACCTCGAGGGAGGTTACGACTAGAGGCCTTTAGCTAGGTGGCCTCCTCGAGGGTTGACAGAGTCCTGGGTTAGGCCAGAGACCAGTCACTGGGTGGGGCCCTGGGGAAAGTGCCCAGGCTTCAGGGCCTAAGGGACCAAGATCTGGCAGGTGAAAAGGGACTTAACTAGGCCGTTTCTCAGGTTAGGAGGCTTCCTGCGAGATGATTCAGGCGGCCCCCCTGGGGACAGCATGACTCAGGAGAGAAGCTGGCTGTAGTTGAGCTCATGAGTTGCCAAGTGGCTGTGTCCCGTCATCCCCAGCCTGTCCCAGCAGGCCAAGTGCAGCCTCTGGGTCAGTTCTGCTCAGCAGAGCCACAGGGATCTGCCAACCCTCCTTCAAAACATGGGTGAGGTCTTAGGTCATGTCAACATGAGTCTCCAAGCAACGGGGCTCTGGCCTATACTGGCTGCGTGATCCACACCATGCTGGATTGGGCGGTAGTCCTTGAATCATAGTTCAGAGCAGCCTTGAGTGGGAGATGGGGGTGTGTGGCTGGCATGGATGCCACCTGGCACCAGGCAGATGGAATTGGCCCGGGACCCACCCACAAGTCGAGGGGCCTTACCATTCTCCATGTGGTTCCTCTCGATGAAGTTTCGGCTCAGGTCTGCCTTGCACATCTTCTCCACATGGCGCATGCACACGTTGAGCAGGTCATCCCTGAAGTTGCCCAGCGACTGCCCCAGGCCCTCCCCCTCCAGCAGAACATGGTAGGTGGGTAGGGGTGGGGGGAGGGAGTAATTGCTCATCAAGGCACCAAACTCCTAAGAAGAAACGAAGGAGGTCATTAGCTGTGTGGGTCTTTGGGAGCTATGAGGCCCGTGCCTGCCAGGCGCTCTCTCGGTCCAGCTGGAGAGCCAGCACTGGGAGCGGGGGCCCGTTCTTCGTCAGTGATTAACTAGCTCCACTTGCCCTCATTGAACATTCTTCTCTTCTTCTGGGAAGTGATGGAGTTGGGCTAATGTCATGAGCTGTTCTCTGATGAGTTTGATGGTATTAATAACCCTGTGGTTCCAAGGTTCCCACCCCTAACCCAGGTGCCCCACTCCTCCCACATGAAGGGGTAGGAGAGGGGGCCCAGCTGTGACTACTCTCAGGGTAAAAGCACTGGAGAAACACAAGGACTTCCCCGGTGTCTCTGGCCACTCTGGGCGGTGAGTCCACATTTGTTGGCCACACCCAGTCCTGCCTCTACCACTTATCATTGCCTTTCAGTCATTGAAGAGTCCCTCCTTCAAGTCCTAACCAGCCTTCAAACCCAGTTCAAATTCTACCTCCTCCTCGAAGCTGTTTATATCAATCTAGCCCGCTGTCTCTTCTCAGAGCTTCCACAAACATTTATCCTCTGAACCACATGCTTTGTCACTTAATTACACCCTCTTCTATAGTGTTCTCTAATTGTAATATGCCTTATCTTCCCAGATAGAATGCAGCTCCTTAGGGGAAGAGACGTTGTCTCATGCTTGTCTGTTCTCCACAGCACCTAACAGAGCATGCGGCATTACAGCAGTCCCCAAAGCACTTGTGCAGTTGGAAAGATGGACTAACAAGTAGGCATACAGACCAGATCAAGGACAGCAAGTATATGCACTCATATGCCACCCCCACCACACATATCCAAAGCAGGCATCACTAATCAATTATCGACCTCTTTCCTGCTAAGCCTGGAGTACTGTTAGGAAACATCAGTTGAGGTTAGCACCAGGTTATAGTTGTGTGCTATTTTTAAACTAGGAAGGGAAATGGCTTGCATGGAGAAGTAAATAGGCAGATGGAA